TAAAGAGCCATTCAAAGGATTCAATGCGTTCATTCAACAAAAACCCACAACCAAACATACAATTATGCGTATGATTGTTAATACCTTCAAAAGGACCACAAATCATTGCGTACTTATTTGTACGACTAGTTCCGTAACGCGCGATGCGCGATGGGAATAATGCCCAATGTAATTTGTGTAACATAAATCTTTAGTTATATGCGTTTGCACCTCGTAAAGTATCTTTAGTAATACTATACCATAATGCCAACTTTCCAAGTAAAAGATATAATAGTGATATGTAAAAGGTTTTTAAAGACTGGAGTTCTTTTGTTGGATCATATGTGAAGCTAGACTAAAATAAAAAATAAGTACAAAGAATTAAGGCATCAAAGAGATAGTCGGTTGGAGCTCTTGCCATAACTTAAAATTTAAACAAACACAATGATGGTAGAAAAATTTATTTACAATGTATTCATAATACATAGAGTTTAATTTGGCATGCAAAAAAATATAGAATTTGGGATGTAGAAATTAATTTTATATTCCCTTTGCCTCTAAACTGCACTCCCTTTAGCATTTTTACACTATCAAAAAAAATTAAATTGCATGCTCAAGATTTATTTGAAAGTAGAAGAAATTGTGAACTAATCAAATATGTCATCTGTGAATATGAGAAGATATTTTTTGTTGACTGATAAAGAAACCGAGAAACTAATTTGAGGATACTCAGATTATATCTTCGACCTTTATTTATAAGCATCACTTGGTCAAGCAAGGGCGGAGGTGGAGGGGGGGGTCAACAAGGTCTCGGCCCACCCCAAATTTAAAAATTCTTTGTATTTTTAATGTAAAAATATATGTGTAAAATGACAAAGTTTTTTTAAAATGAATTATGGATGTAGAGACTAGTTTTAGGCTTATAAGCCAACTTTTTCACCAAACACGTAACTTTTGGTTTTACGGGCTGAATTGTGTCATAATAAGAAAAATTAAGGTTGAAGTTACTTTTCTGGCTGTATTGGCTGATGTTACTTTAGAGGACCATTTTAGCTATTTTTTCATATAATTTTTTCTTTATTTTATTAATAAAATGTATTTTGAATTATTATTTTTCACAAATCAGCAGAATCAGCCAATACAGCCACATCAGCCAGAACTTAATAAATTTAAGCAGAATCAGCCAATACAGCCGATTTGGCTACTACCAAAAGTAGTTACTATTTCTAGTAAGAAAAATTTATTTTCAAAAAGTATTGATAATCCTATAGAGAAGTTTATTTTTAGTTGTATTTTTATGTCGAGATCTTTTCAACTGTGAAACTAATTTTGTTGATCTTTTTTCGTTTGAAGTTAAACTTATTTACTTTAAGGAATATTATTATAGTTGCTTAACTAATTAGACCTTCATTTATATAATTATCATTTTAAAGGTGCCATAGCTTTCAAAAATCTTGACTACCTGCAAATAGTTGTGCTCTGTAGCCGAAGAATTGTCCGGTTGAGATATACTGGCATCACTTCCACTCCCAATCTATAAACCCATTGTTGAAAGCAACTTAAAATGACAAAACTTGTTTGATTTTCTTCTCAATTTCAACAATGTAATCCTTATAGTAACAAGGAAGAAACATCCTTGATAAAACATTCGGGGTTTTTCCAGATTCAATCACTTCAGGGGTTCTCTTTACGTAGGGTCAGTGGCGGATCTAGGCTTCGTCAGTCAGTGTATGCACGAATAGTACATTAGTACTAGTGTACTACTAGTATAATACTCCACACGTTCTTTAAAATGTTGTTATCTTTGAATTTTTCAGTCAATCAAGTTAAATTTGAAGAAAAATGTATTTTTATAAGAAATTATTTACAATATAAAAACGATGTGAAAATGTATATAGTTAAAAAAATCATAATAATAAAGAAAGAAATTAATCAATTTATATTCTTCATGAAATTATTATAATGAAAATTATTGCCCAAACTACATTTTTAAAATATTATTTTAACTCAACGAAACAAACACATTTGACATGCTTAAGTGTATAATAGTATAATACTATATTCTTATATTTAATTGCCGATAATTATGCATGTCATTTTTTAAAGGAAGAACCATTTATATTAATATGATTAGGATTCATTTTGTTACAGCAAACTCGAAAAGATGACACTGACAACAACTATCCATAACTAACTAGCACTAAGACATAATTATCCATTTCATAAGCGTAAAAAGTTAAAATTATATTTGCAATTAAATGCTAATTAAATCGAAATATTAGAGAAATGTTTTAATCATTTAATTTACATTTAGAGAATGTAAATAAAAAACTGGCCGTAGTAGTGGGTCAAGTCGCCTCTGGTCTTTACTTTTTCTTAAAGCAATTGTCGATTAGGGTATTAGCCTATTAGTAGGTTTAATAAATGGGTGACTGTTGCAGAATTTTTAATTTAAATATTTCTAAAATGCAAAAATATAGGACGACGACGGATAATGTAGTGATGTAGCACATCGGCGTAGCACTTAAAAAAACAAAAGTTCACAATTCACATGTAGCCTCCAAGCAGTTTCAAACTTGGGACATAAAGCCTAACAAGCAACTTAACCAAATGAATACTACCACATAGGCTGAAAGCTTCTTTTGAGGCGTAACCCATGCTTACTCTAATTATAGCGTACGTCCGCCCCTGCGTAGGGTTGACATTCAATATTTCAATATAATGAAAGAAAGATAAAAAGGATGCACAAAGATAAATGGAAAATAGACAAATAGTCTAACCATTTCGAAAGTCTAGCAACAGGTGTAAGATTGATAGAGGCGAAGGAAGGAAAGACTTAGGATGTTTTTACTTGGACTATAATTTGCTGGTCTGGTCTGGTCTGGTCTGAACTGGTCTGGTCTGGTCTGGTCTGGTTTCTTTGTATTTTTATAACTATCCAAGTCTGGTCTGGTCTGGTCTGGTCTGAACTGGTCTGGTCTGGTCTGGACTGGTCTGGTCTGGTCTGGAACAAATTACAGTCCAAGTAAAAACATCCTTAGAAGACAAAGAGCTTTGATGGTCTAACCATTGAAATCCTCTATTGTATTGATTTATTAAGGAAGACGCTCATTGAAGATATTGGCTCAGGTTAATTAACGGAACGATGGAATCGTATGGGGTGAAAGATGGTGAGCTAACTCATATCATAATCGTTTCAACACAAGGTACAAGGACATATTAGCATGTGATTACACCAACATCTTTTTCATACCCAAATTACCCTAACCCTCATTGGCTATTATAAGTTTTTATATTTAAGATTTATTTAAGATATGTAGTGTCATGAACCACTAACTCTCCAAATGCTAAATAGTCCTCTTTCATTTGATTGTCTCTAAAAAAGAAGCTAACTAAGGAACCATCTGCATCAACTTCAAAAGAGAAAAAAAATCTTCTTCATTTATTTGCTCGTTCCTAAAGATATTAATCAAAGTATTTGCATCACAACCTTCAAAATAATTTTTTTTTGTTTTTTTCCAATTCATTGTAGTCATTGCGCAGCACGAAACCAATTGAAGGGGAGCCACCTGCTTCAGTCTGTAAACAGCGAAAACCATCAGCTATTTATACTCCTCTATTTCTCAAATGATTCAAATACGTCAACTCAGAAGAAGAAACATCACGGTGAGACCTCCCGTGATGAACTAAAGAATCAGGACTGAAATAGTGATTGTGATCCATAAGACGACTAACAACAACCCATTCACCGTTACTTCTAACCTCAAAATAGTTTTTTCTTTGCAAACTGTACGACGATCAACTTTGGTGAATACCTTACCATGTACACCTTTATTCTTCTTATAACCTTGTTTAGTGCAACAAAATTCTCTGCCACTAACATCACAACCACCTTCTTTCTTCCATAGAGTAGAATAACGAACGTCAAAGCCAATCCTAAAAGCATACTCATTATACAAATCAAAAGCTTCATTCTATGACAGAACAAATTTTCCATAAAGCTCTGAAACTTCAGTTTCTTTAACTACAAGGGAAGAATGAGATTGTGGTATAGGATCAAAACTGCTAGAAAGAATGGGTAGCTTCAAAAAAACAAAATTTCAAGCTAAAATAAAATGATCTGGATCAAGGAAAAAAGGGAAAAAAGTAAAAAGTGCAAATAAAATCAGAACAAAGAAAAAGAGAATAAGAAAAAACCAAAGGAATTACTTGAAACAACTACAAAGATTTCGCGTTCAATGTCTTCAATTAAATGTCTTGTACAAGCAATTTCATCTGCAAAAGGATAAACAAAAGGATAAACAAATACATAGACCTATTACTCATTGAAATAAAACTATAACATCAAAATGTGTTATCAATTAATCATACTAATATAGTGAATTGCTTAGTAGATAAATACCAGAAAAATTAGGCATGACTGATCAACGTAAACCTACAATAAATTAAAAAAGAGTTCATAATCTAGTGATCACAGAAGAAAAATAAAAACAATTTGCAAAAATCTAACGAAGAATAGATGAACATTACATCAGAAAAGAATAGAATAAAAGGATGAGATTCTTACCGAATTCGAAGAGTACGGATGAAATATTTGGAATGATGATCGTTGTAAAACACATTCGAAGGAAGATCACAACGAGCTGGAGAAGATGATCATTGTAAACTTGAGATGCACCGACCTGAACTTGAGATGCACCGACCTGAAGAGGATGGTCGTTGTAAAAGGCGGGAAAGAAAGATGATCGTTGACGATGATTGTTGAGGATGATAGAAGAGGCTAATAACGCACCTAAAAGTTCATTAAAATTTAAAATTACAAAATAAATTGCGATATTTGTAATTTTGTAAAGTAAAAAACAAAATATTAATTCATGGGCCGTGAGAATTATTTTGCCCGAGCTCTAGGCCCAAACCAAATCGCAACTGAAGTCATAAACCACGGATCTAAACATCCAAATATCCGGAGCACAGCTGAGTGCTTATAAAGACGAGGAAGGTGCTTGGTCTGCATTGGTAGTACTTAAATTAAAGGTGGAAACTTTGGTAACAAGAAGCAGAATTTTAGGTGCAAGAGAGAATGGAGATCTCTTCCAAATGCAGTTGCGAAGAAAAGGCTGCATCAATTCGAAAGCTGGCTTTATCCCAGCCGGAATCGCCCACTGTTATTGATCTTGATGCCATTTTTTTCAGCAGTTTGAATGAGGAATTGGTAGTAGAGATACTGTTGAGATTACCCAGAACCGAATCAGCTCGATACCAATTGGTTTGCAAGCGCTGGTATTCACTGATCTCTTCTCATTACTTCATTGGCCGCTCAAGTCCCTTTAACCATACCATTGTTTTCCAGTTTGAATACAATTGCAAGTGTTCATGTAACTCACCCCCCTGTAGACCTATCTCTCATTCTTCCCTAAAGTTATTTTCTTCGGACCCCTCTTCCGACCACTCCTTGTTGCTCCAGGTCTACGGAAAGCATGACATCAAATTAAGTTATCTGCCCTGCCCCCCTCAACGCCTCCACAAAATCAGGCTGGTGGGCGCCTTCGCCGACCTAATATTGTGCTATTATTATTCCACCACTCCTATACCGCACACCACCCTGAAAAAAAAGCAAATAAACTATTATGTCTCCAATCTGCTCACCCGCCAGTGGATTCCTCTCCGTCCAGTTGGGGACTCCAGGGACGACGCTGCTGTTGGCTTTCTATGTCTTCCGCCTTCTTCTTCTGAATCCTGTAACTCTCGCTATAACAGGTTCATTGTCGTGAGGATTCCCTATGTTATGCGACCAACCCGTCCTGAGGTTGAAGTCCAAGTCTTTTCATCAGAGGAGGGTAGATGGAGGAGAAGATTTGTTTCATCCCCTTTGCCCTCGAGATCTTACAATATAAGCCGGCCTCTGGTTGCATATAGAGGGCTGCTGCATTGGCTTAAAACGGACTGCATTGCGGTTTACGACCCGCTTAACAGCCCTAAAAGATTCTCTCGCATCATTCCGCTGCCGACCCAATCACCCGATTTTCCATCTGAGGGCACCACTGGTTGCTTTGGGATATGCCAAGATCGCATTCGTGTTTCGCGAAAGACGCGTGTAGGAACTCTTGTACTGCATGTATGGGAACTTGAAGACTACGACTCTGGGTTGTGGAAGCTGGTTCACAAGGTTGTCCTTCAAAGCATTTTGTCTCAAGTTTCACATTTTGCCGATGATGGTTGGGTTGGTTCTCGTGCTTTCTGTGTACTGTATTTTGATCCAAAAAATGGTGATGATGTGTATTTCAGTATGTGTAACAGCATCCTCTGTGTCGACATCAAACGAGGAATAATAAAGCACCACCGCAGTATATGCCCCGCTCCGGCGTCTGTGTGGTCTTGGCGTAACACTTTTCACCTTGATAATCACTGGTGTCCAACACATGTATCATCATTTCAACACTAAGCATTATGTATGGCACCCTAGGCTTCACAGTAAGCTGTTATATTTCAAAATAGTATTTCTATATGAAACTTTTCGTTATTTTTTTCATATTTGGAAAATTTTGCTCAAGTTCATTGATAAAAGGTACCACCTTTGTCCCACTAACATTCCGACAAGAATATGTGATGTGGTTATTAAGATAACTAGATTCATGTGGTTGATATTGAATTGATAAAGCATGAATGGTTTAGTATTACACAAACTTTTATCAAATGTGGTGTATGACAATCTTAGGGGAAGAGACTAAAAAAGGAAACGAGACAATTTTAATAGCAAGGAAAGTAGTACACATATAGAAGTATAGAACTATGGAACTATAACATTCCGTAAATAATAAAGGCCTCAATGGTATAGGAGTTGAGGAGTCTTCACTCTTTAACTCTTCACAAGTCAAAATTTGTGGATGAAGTACACCCGACACGGCTTTCAGGCCATTTCATGACCTCTACGCTCCTACGTGTCGTTCTTCTCATATGTCTTCTCTAGCATCTCTTTGATTGGATTTGTTCAATCAAACAAAAAACAACAACATTACCCCACATTATCTTAGTGCCTCAAAGGCTTCTACCCACAGTGAGGGGGTCGGATGTACGCAACCTTATCTCCTTGCTTTCCTTATACTAAAGCACAAAGAGACCGTTTCTAGATGTCCCATTTAAAAATTGAATGGACTGACCTTGATTCATAACAAAGAAGCACATGCAGTTTAGTGTGCCATTTTGCTTTATTCCATCTATGTTCCTTGGACAAAAAAAGTGAGTCGTTGGTTCTATCAGAAAGGATTTCAAACCCAGGTAAGAAATTGAATTAGCATTTATGGGTTGCACAAGTTCTTCATCTTTCACATGCTCATCATCTTCATCCTGTGTAGCCATGATCATATTCCAACCACTGTTGCTTTCTTCTGAGGTGCCCAATCACTTTTTGTTAATTTCACCGGCCTCATTGACGCCTTGGATACGAGACCTCCAGTTTTCCATTCCTTAATATTCAGTTCATAATTTGTAGTTCCCCGGAGTTTTAAGGAAGGTAATTAAGCAGGAAATGCAAGTCGAGAGCTTTTTCTGTTTTTAGGATTTTAATGTATTTGCAGTTAGAAAATTATTTGTATTGTCATATCTGGGAAGTTTGGTTCTTTTGTTATTCTGAAAAAAATTGCTAACCTATATACCTTACAATTGAGATAAAGTGATTAAGGTTTTGAATGTTTCATGGCTGGTCGGTACCACTTAAAGGTCAATAGAATTGTTGAACCGTAGAATGTTTTTGTTTTATAGTTAGTTCCATGTAATTTTAATATAAACTATTGCCTTTTGTTTTTTTCCTTTCTTTTTGTGTGTGTTTCTAATGTAGTCTACAAAATTTTATTGCAGCTGTCTATTAAAGAAATTTTGGGGGTGATAGGCGGAGCATCAGAAGTGGCCACGGGTGCTATACAAGAACGATTTGCACGTCTTCTTTGTGATCCTGAAGATGGCTGCTTCTGCTAGTGCAAAAAAACTGATGCATAAAAGGATGCCCTCTTTGAGGGCAAAGACTTCTGGTTGGACTGCATTTGTCGAAAAGGAAAGACAGAAACAATAAGGGATTAGCCCCAGCTTGAAAGTGACCCTTTTCCTCCTATATCACTCTCTAATACTCGCTCAACTGAGCCCTCCTACGAGGCAAAGAATACATGTACTATATTGGAGAAGACTTTTTCTTCAGTCATTTTACCTTCTCCAAATTTTCCACCGTTGGAGCGAAATATAGGCTCTAAAAATAATCGAATAAGTGTTGAACATGTGAATTCCAGCCAGCTCAACATTGCTTCCAAAAAGGGGGATGATGTTGATTTGTATAAAAAAAATAAAGAAGCTTTACTCGTGGGAAGATGAAGGCCTGACCAAAGATATTATGGTTGGGGTAGATTATGAACTTGATCAGGTTGTAATGTTATTGGGAGCAATGGTTTCTCTGGATCAGAGACTTGTGTTGCATGAGGAATTGAGGATTCAGAATTCGAGAAATCTGAGACTAGCGAAGAGAAACACATAAAAAGTGAACAAGCCAAAGAAGATGTTTCATTTGGAGAAGACATGAACGTGGAAGATTTCGACAACGATATAAATAAGCGTGTGAATCCCAGTAGCACAGATTTGATCGATGCACGACTTGGTGTTTTTAGATTTGTACCAATTGAGCCTGAGTTATGGGAAGAAGATGATGTATACTCAATACAAAGAAAGGATGCTCTAAGGGTGATGAGGTGGGTGGCATCCTTTTTTTTTTTTGAAAAATATATTTTATTTTGAAAATGTTACTACCTGATTGCATTACTAGCCTTTATACTAGTACTTTACTTTGTGCTCCTGTTTACACTCCATTGGTTATAAATACTTTGGAGGGACATTTAATCTACTGGTGGATTACTTTTATTCTTTACTTCTATTCAAGGATGAGAATGTCACATTCGTAACATTGTTGATAGCATTTGTTCAAAAAACTATGCATCATGTGGATTAGACCTGGACTCGGGCCGGTTCGGGCCCGGTTCGGGCCTGGGCCCGGCCGGGCCTCGGGCCAGGATAGTTGGGCCCGGGCCCGAACCGCAGGTGGGCGGTTCCGGTTCCGGGCCAAACCGGGCCGGGCCGGGCCTACCCGGAATTTTTTTTTTTTTTTGGCTCTTCTATTTAACCCCCAACCCCTCCCCCTCAACCCCAAACTACCCCAAACCACCTCAAATGGCCCAAAATACCTAATCCAACCCAAAACTTAAAACAAATTCAAAAAAAAAAAAAATTAAAAATCGAACCGAACCGGGCCCGAACCGGCCGGGCCGGTTCGCCAAAACCTCGGCCCGAGCCCGAACCGCCCAGCAGCCGGGCCGGGCCGAACCGAACCGGTGGGCCCACCGGGCTCCGGGCCGGGCCGGGCCTCACAGTAACCGGGCCGGGCCGGGCCGGGCCGGTTCCGGGCCGGGCCGCCCAGCCCGAGTCCAGGTCTAATGTGGATCAGTTTGCATGCATTAAAAAATTTATGATGTAATGTACTTTAAATTTGTTATTTCCATAATTTCCCATGAAATCAAAGACTCGACTATTTTGTGTTTTGGGAATATAATGAAATAAAACAAAATGACTCACTAAACTGTCCTCGCTTCTTTGTTATGCGATTCTTTGTTATGAAGCAATAACCAGTCCATGCAATTTTCTACGCTATTTTCATCATGGGTCATCCGGAAGTAGTCTATGTGTGGTTTAGTAATGGGTGGTAGTGTTTTTGGCACCGGGGTAATGTTGTTGTTGTAATGTAATTTAAATTTGTTCTTAAATTTTGGTTTGTGATTGATTGGTTGCACCCGCCATCAGGTAGCAATAATTATTATTATTTTTGTATCGAGCAATTCTATCAAAACTTATTGATATGTTTTCTAAGTCATTCTTTCATAGCTTTGTAAAAAACTTATTCATTCACCGCAAGAGTTCATTGCACAAGAACAAAGTGATATTGCAATTTTTTATTGATATGTTAAAATAAAAATCATCCATAATACTCCGTATTTTTTACCCCGGGGTCGAGCGAGGGGCATTAAAGAAGTGTGAGGTAAACGTTTATCTTAATAGATGTAAAAAAATATGCACCAGTACTCCGTAGTCATGGACCCGGGCCAGGTCGGGCCCGGGCGGGCTTTGTTTGGGGGGAGGATGAACCGGGACCGGCCCGGGTAGCCACCGGGTCCGGGCCGGGTCGGGCCTCGGATATTTTTTTTCTTTGTCCTAATTAACCCCCCCCCCCCCCCCATCCCCCCAAACCACCCCAAATGGCCCAAAATACCCAGCCCAACCCGAGAAGTTAAAAAAATTTGAAAAATTTGAAAAATTAAAAAACCCGGAACCGGACCCAAATCGGTCGGGCTGGTTCGGCTTTTGAGTGACCCGAGCCCGCACCGGGAACCCCCCGGGCCGGGCCTACCCGGACCGGTCACTGACCGAGCCACCAGGCCGGTTCAGCACAGTACCGGTCCCGGGCCGGTTCTGGGTCGGGCCACCCGGCCCGCTCCGTAACATATTTGTATACACAAAACGCAATCGTACTCTAGAACAATGCACGTACTTTTATAAATAAATGATTTGCATTTAAGTTTTTTTTTTTTGCCAAAAAAAAGTTTCATTTTTGCCAAAAAAAAATTATTTTTTACGAATGTGACACGCTACTATTTTTAAATAGGTAATGACCCAATTCGTTTACCTTTTGATCGATACGTTAAAAGCTGACATTCATTCTTAATTTTTAAATATGGAACGATTCAATTTCATTTCAAGCTTAACCCGAGCATATTTGCACACATACGCACAAATGTAAAATCACAATTGTTACTACGTAAATGATTTTTTGGAAAATCGTTCAACCACTCCGTTAAAATACTATAGAATACGTTAATAAATACGGAGTACGTTTTACTATAAAATACGACCATATTTAGTTGACCAAAGTAGCCAATACGTACACTTGGCAATCCACCAATATAAGAAAGGACACGATCTCCCTCTTTTCCCAGACCGAGTTTCCGTCTTCGATCTTCAGCCTACCTAATAATTAAATTAAAGTAATTAAAAATTATGGGGTCGACGGATGATCAGAAGAACCAGCTCAGGAGCCGAGCCGAGTCGAAAGAGGAGGAGGCCGACAGCTTGTATGCGATGCAGCTGGCCAGCGCCTCAGTGCTTCCCATGGTGCTGAAAGCAGCGGTGGAGCTGGACCTGCTTGAGCTGATGGCTCAAGCCGGACCGGGAGCGGCCGTGTCCCCTTCTGAGCTGGCGGCTCAGCTCCCCACCACTAACCCGGACGCAGCCGTCATGCTGGACCGGATTCTCCGCCTCCTCTGCACCTACTCTGTCTTGAACTGCTCTCTCCGCACCCTCGCCGACGGCCGGGTGGAGCGGCTCTACAGCTTGGCGCCGGTATGCAAGTATTTGACCAAGAATTCCGACGGCGTTTCCATGGCGCCGCTCGTGATCATGAATCAAGACAAAGTCCTCATGGAAAGCTGGTAATTAATAAATTATTTAATGGAGTACGTATACATGTGAATATGTGATTGATATGTTTCCTTTTTGTGAGTCTGAATAGTCCACCGCACCTCATCTATAGATAATACATTTCAAAGATATAATTATGGAAAGTTTTGCCATGTGTCATCATCTAGGCAAACTTTCATAATAATATTTTTGATTTTCTTTCCAATTTAGTAAATAAAGTCTACTTCCGTAAAATTAGTATTAAAAGTTGATTTGAACTCATGTTACGTTAAATTAGCATACTTCCTAAAGCTAGGTAATTTAAAAAATAAAATCTCATATTAATTTTAAAGTCTTATAACTTTTTAATTTGTACTTTGATGGTTACAAAAAATACACCATAATTTATAATTTTTTATTATCTTTCATATGAGACCAATATTGAATATATAAAAATAAAAAAAATAATTTAACACTTTTGATATATCTATTTTGAAAAAAAATAACCCTTTAAAAAATGTCTATTTTTAAAAATACAATATTCTATAGATAATACATTTGAGCGATAAAATTAGTATGACGTATGTTTTCTTTTGGACTGTTTTCAGACCAGACCAGACCAGACCAGACCAGACTTAAACAGACCAGACCAGACCAGACTTCCGTAGTTATAAAATACACAGAGACCAGACGTTTACCGGACCAGACCAGACCAGACCAGACCAGACCAGACCAGACCAGACTTAAACAGACCATACCAGACCAGACCAGACCAGACTTAAACAGACCAGACCAGACCAGCAAATTTCAGTCCAAAAGAAAACATCCGTAAAATTAGTATTAAAGGTAGATTTGAACTCATGTCACGTTCATTTAGATAATACAATTCAAAGCTATAATTAGGGAAAGTTTGCCATATATCATCGCAAATTTAGCATACTAATTATACAAGTACTTCGGTTACATTAATTTTACGTAATTTCAGTATGATAGAACTAATGTTACGTTAATACTAAGCTATTGGAATCCTACCTAATTAAAACTTTCTAAAGGTATGTAATTCAAAAAATAAAATCTCATATTTATTTTAATGTGATATAATTTTTTTATTTGTAATCCGATTGTTACAAAACAAATTATCAACATTCATAACTTTTTATTATCTTTCATATGACACCAATATTGCATATATAAAAGTAATAAAAAATAATTTTATTAATTTTTGGCAATTTAGATCGTTTCTTACTGTACACACAATTAATGAGGACCGATACCGTAGAATAAAACCGCACAAACTCCATCATTTTTATTTATTGTTTTATTCTTTGTGGTAGAATATGCGCTATTTTATTCTAAGCTATCACTCCGATTAATAGTGTGCATGGTAAAAAACGATCATAAACTGCACATATTAATAGATTTTATTTATATATGAAACATTGAAGTCATATGAAAAGTAATAAAATTTTCAGGAATTCTAATATATTTTTTTGTAACAATCGTAGTATAAAAAAATTCTAGCACTTAAAAAACTGAAGCTTTAAAGTGTAAAATTATTTTTCATTTTTATATATTCAATATTTGTAAAATATAAAAGATAATAAAAAGTTATGAATTTTGATATTTTTTTTGTAACAATTGTATTTCAAATAGACAAGTTATAGCACATTAAAATAAATATGATATTTTATTTTGTTGGGCCCTGATGAATTCTAATTGAGCACGACAAAATTTCCTCTATTTATAATTGCATCTTTAAATTTTTAAAAATAATGGTTTGAGTAATTCTTTGTGATAATACATATGCAGTGTGATATATTATGCGTGATAAAAAAGTTACTCCTTTTGAGGAAACGGTCCAGCCCAACTCACTCTCCCTTATGGGAGTTCCCAGTTTCAATTTTCAATGGAGTGAGATTGAACCCAGTTTATCTCAGGCTCCCCAAACCCTCTCCCCCAACGCCCCCTGGGATAAAAAAAAACTAGAAACAAAAAAAAACTCCCATCATCTAAAAAAGATTAACCAGTTTGACTTTTCATGGTCAATGTTGTTAAAGTTTAGACAATGATTTTTAGGTATTATATTTGTGTGTAATTTATAATTTTTACTCTTACCAAAGATTTTTAAATAAAGAATAAGCTCATATAGTGCCCGGTTGGTAATACCAAAATTGGCTGCATCGGCTGATTCTGCTGAAATTTATAAAATTTTGGCTGAAGTTGCTGGGAAATTATTTTACTAATAATTTAATGAAAAATTATATGAAAAATAGTTAAAATGGCAATCTATAGTAACTTCAGCTAATATAGCCAGAAAAGTAACTTCAGTCTTACTTTTTCGTATTATTACACATTTCAGCGTGCAAAATCAAAAGTTACGTGTTTGATAAAAAAAGTTGGCTATAAGCCTAACAAGCCAAAAAACATGCTCACCAAACGGGCTCATAAATTTCATATTTCATTGGTCAAACTTGAGCACTATTGACTAAGAAAGTGCAAAAATGCAAAAATGGACTTAAAAAATTATCCAGGATACCTCAAAATATAATTTATTGATAACGATCTAATTGAAAAAAACAAATCTTAAAAACAATTCAAAATCATGAATATGAATTTTATTCATGTATGAATTTATTCACGGAGTTCCAGGGCCGGTCCTCTATGATTGAAGGCCTAGGAACAACGAGTTAAAATGGGCCTAATCTTAAGAAAATGTAAAATCATTTTATGTCTAAACTAATAACATGCACAATAAAAATAATATTTCAATACATTTATAAAACAGATTAAAACTATCTTCTGTCTAAATCAATAATATTATAATATTGGTTGTTCTTATTTAGGAAAGAAAAAATGGTGGTCATATTTGTGCACTTTACTCATGTGTTAGTCCTATTTTAAGGAATTAACTTGGTTATTATCAACTCCTAAAATTCTCCCACCAATGATGTGATCACTCTGAGCCGTTTCATTCTGAGTTATATCATTCTTCTTTTCTGAGTTCTCATCTTGAGGAGGACATTCATAATTTGACTTCCTTATACAAACTTTTCCATTCAATTATTTATTTAGTACCGTTTTCTCTAATCATCTCCTCTCTCTTTTCTTTATCCTATCCAGATTCAATCATTTCTATTACACCTTGAAATTAATTAAATTTATAAATTTGATTATAGTAAAAAACAATTGTCTAACAAAATCAACAAATTAAAACAACAACAATTAATAGATACAATCAAAAATAAAGAAATCAAACAATTTTGTACGAATTAAATTGGTTAATAAACCAATCAAACAATCATATCTGACAAATCTGCTTCCAAGTGGATTGCTTTTTACAAAATTTTGTGAGCATGATTGGCATCAAATTTAGATTGTATCTACAAAACTTCATCTTAAAATTCAATCGGAAAGTCAGTTAAACAAATTATTGAAAAACACTGCACCAAAATATGCATAAAAACACAGCAGTTTTAAATAATTTATTCAATTGACTTCTAGATTGAACTTTAAACTAAAATTATGGACATAATTTACATTTCATAGAGAACGTTTTCATAAAATTTCGTATAAAAATTCACCCAGAAGAACCTAAAAATATTCACCCAATAAATAATTAGTTTAGGATTGAAAAATCAGGCTACTCACACTTATTATAAAGAGAACTTATCATGGGTGTGACTTTTTTCATTGTGTAGGGCTTAGGGCATTTGATCTCCCCTAGGGCCACCCCTACTGAGTTCATTTAACTCTATAAGTCAATGTTTCAAATTAAAGGTAAATTGTGTTTAATATCTCAATGAGATTGTTGAGCAAAAAGAAAATAGAAGAAACCAGGATTACCGAGAACGGGAAAGGAGGACTGTGAAGATGATTGTCCTTAGAAGTAGAGCCAAATCTTTAAATAAGGATGTGGATATTCTAAACCGATTCCCAGTAGAATAATGTAGAAATGAAATTAGAAACCTAGGAATTCAGATCGATATATGATAAAACAAAAAATAAGTTGGAAGATTGTAGTATAGAGGTGAAATGAAAATAGATGCGGCGTATTCGGTAGAAGGTGAGATGGGGCTGAGGACGGCACGGCCGCACGGCATGTGGTTGGAAAAGTGGCCCCTCAAAATTATTTAATCTTTTCTAAAGGAAAATCAGTTTAACAAGTACACTTAAATAAAATTATGGTGGAGCGCTCCGTAATAATTAATCCGTCTAAAAATAGAATTGTACGTATATTTGTAGAGATTTGGAGTAACCACATAAATCATTATAAATATATTTTGAAAGAAAGTGAACAAGGATTGTTAAAGCACCAACACTATAGGTGTTATAATTTGGTAAATGCACTTTTGTACTATGCCATTGATCTCAAAATTATAGCAATGTTTTCAGTTTGAATGATTTTTTATTTAAAGTAATTTAGATTGCTTTAATTTGATATGATATGTATTTATTATTATTATTATTATTATTATTATTATTATTATTATTATTATTATTATTATTATTATTATTATTAAAATCTGGACCATTGAAATGATTTCAATTCAATTGATATTTTCGTATATTTTCACTTTTACTTTAATCTTTTTATGTATCATTTCATATGGAGCTTTTAAGATGAATTATAATATCTTTCCGGCCACCTTCCAAACTTTTTTAAAAAATCAAAAAAACTACTACCTCCGTCCCTTTTATATTGAGACGGAAGAAGGTGGCATGATTTTTAAGAAAAGTGGATTTGTGTGGTTGATATTAATTGATAAAGTAAGAATAAAGTAAGAATGATTTTGAGCCACACAAACTTTACCAAATATGGTATGAGACAATTAAAGTGGGACTTCCCGAAAAGGTAAAACGGGACAATAAAAGGGGGATGGAGGGAGTATTTATCTAATTTTCTAAAATTACGTAAAAATTATATAAATATGTGATCATAGACACACACAAACACTAGAAGTCCTCATTTATAAATATCTTATCACAAAAAGTGTTTCATTATAAAAAATACAAACGGATACACACAAAGTAGTTCGTATCAAAGTATCGTTTATCCGTGCGCGGCACGGGTACAGATACTAGTAAATAAATAAAGATAACATATTTGTAATTTTTTTAAATGGTACAATACATTATCTTGTCATTTATTAATATTTAAATAAATTGTTCAATTATACGGAGCACTCCCTCCGTAACATAAAGATCTTCCCATTTTGACTTTTCACGGTCTTCTAAGTTGAACTTTGACTGCAAATATCTACATATCTATATTTATAAAATTCATAATAAATTAACATTCAAATAATATGTTTTACAATGAGTTATATAAAATAAATTTTTAATCATAACATAATGTGAGTTTTGAATAAATAATGGTCAAAGTTCATAAAGTTTGACCTAAAAAAGTCAAACCGGGAAGATTCTAGCGTTACGGAAGTAGTATTTTAATTAGGTGATAACTCCGGTACATTTCTAAAATATGGGATATTGTACTTATCATTCATTTGATTGGACCACATCATTTTATCTTTTTTAATTTAGATTTTAATAATTCAACTGCTACTTGGTCCATGTGGACGAAGGTATGATACTTATGGATAACATAGAATCTACCTTTTAATTAATTCTTAGACAAAAAGATAGCGCAGTATTGCCTTTCCTGAAATTTAGTTAATACGTATTTAATAACGTTCCCCGAGCCTAAAGGTCCTCAGATCATTCATTTTTCTTCCTCCAAATAATACCCCGTAATATTTTTCGTATTCTCAATTTTTTAATTATTATCTCACACACCATCCGTACCATAAAAGTATATTGTTAAATTGTTCTCATTAAAAATCCTTTCATAAAAGTATAAAATTGATAAATAAATAAAAAGTATAAAATTGATAAACTATATACAAATATACTACCGTATCACATCATAATTAACTATATACAAATATACAAGTTAAAATGACAAACATTTCGGGATGAATGTAGCGTTCAAAATAATGCGTATTGATCTTAAACCCTCTAAATTATGCACTATCATCTCTAATTTCATAAATCATATGAGATCAATCTATATTCGGTATTATACTTTGATCGCAAGTTATTGAGTCAAATAATCCACGGCCCTTTTGTTATTGTGCCTTAATTCTTTTGTCTATAAAAATCCTCCTCGGCCCTTTTGAGGTACCATGACATGTTTCCCGTAATATTTTGGATAAGTATTTGTTATGAACTTATGATTAATTATATACTAGCCTAATAGATTTTTCAATGGGGTTGATTTCAAATTCCGTTAATTAGAGCCGAGCTAAATCTACTTGCCTCTCATTGAATATTCGCTTTGGATATGTGGGCGACTAGTCAGATTTCTTTGAGGTAAATATAATGTCCACCCACATACGTCTATTTGTTATTTTTTCATATATATTTTACCTACCCATTTGTTGTTTTTACATATTCTAATCCGTTCATTATGCCTATAAGTGAATCGGGTGGATTGATTGCTTAATTAGTCAGCAGTTGAATTGATTCATCAATATGCTTTTTGTAAAGACAAAAGTCTTATTAACGCGTTAGTGCGTTACACCCGGCCATATAAGTAATATAATGAACTCCAATTGCAAACGCAATAATAATTAAATTTTAAACATAAGCAATGTTTATTTTGATATGAAAATAAAACTACTCCAGGTATTACAATTTGAAACACCGAAACTTTAGAATCTTATTTTTTCGTGGTTGGGTAGTTAAGAGTACTTGTAGCGTTAAAAGTATATTAGTATCGCGTGAACTATACCGGAAGTGATAATTTTTTTGGGTCAAAAGACAGAAATAGATCTCACAACCGTTATCGTTCGAATCAGACTCAGAATTAATCGCCGCAATAATACAATTCGCTGATCCATTTGTGGGAAACATACAGCCAGCAACGGTCATCCTATTTCTTTCCAACCCCAAATCCAAACATACAGCCAGCAACGGTCATCCAAAATTTTTCTAATCACTTTTTTTGCAGTGTCTAAATTTTTATTTTTCGACGCACCTTTCTGGATTAAATTTCGAAAAAATCAAACGTTGATAAAAATGCATTAATATGATTATTACTCCGTATCGTTTCTTGCTAAATGTGACTCATTCACTCTTAATTAAGCAATAATTAAGCAAGTTTTATGCTTTGATTAGAATTAAATAAAGTTATGTTTACAGAATAAAATATAACTGCTTTTATTAATACACTATATATAGGGGCATATCTAGGGGAGGGCCAACCTTATCCTTGGTTCAGCCCAAATTTTAAAAATATCGATATTTTTAATGTAAAAATTTTCGTGTAAAAACTTTTACAAAAATATTATTTGGCACAATCCGACCCGGATTATATATAGATGTTTGACTTCTATTGGAAATACGGAGTATTTTATTTTAATTTCATATGGAGTGGATTGATATTTGATAAGTTTAAATAACTTGAGTAAGCTATTACCGGTTCAACCTACCAATGATACAGACGGCGCCAGCATACGTTGAAAGTTGAAACGTCGCTGAGCTCAATACTGACGTGTAACAATAAACATACGACTTTACTGTGTACAGTCAACTTGGACTTAGATGTCGTTTGGCAATCCGATTGTTTGGCTTATCAATCTTATCAACCAATTTTTTCATCAAACATGTAATTTTTGCTTTCGCGCGCTGAATTGTGTAATAAGCAGAAAATGTAAGGTTGAAGTTACTTTTCTGGCTGTATTGGCTGAAATTACTGTAGATGACTATTTTAGCTATTTTTACATATATTTTTTTCTTTATTTTATTAATAAAATATATTTTAAAAATAATTTTTTCTTTAATCAGCAGAATCAGTCAATACAGTCACTTCAGCCAGAACTTCATAAATTTTAGCAGAATCAGGCAAAACAGCCGATTTTCGTGCTATCAAATGAGCTATCAATAGCAAGTTTGCAAACTCAAAGTTTATATAAGGTTCTGGGTATATATATTACATATGCAAGTTTGAGGTACTTATTTCACACCCCACTAAATTAAAGTTTGTTGTATTTAAAATATTTTCCCTTTTATTGTATATATGTTCAAATAGAAGGTATTATTAAAAATTACTTTCAAAGTACATACTATTATTGATTTATGGGACTGTTTGTATTATTTATGATATTTTCCTATTATTTAATATTAGTCTCATGATCGGTTTACCTATAATTTTAAGGTATCACTTAAAAGAAGCAATACTTGAGGGTGGAATACCTTTCAATAAGGCGTATGGAATGAGTGCATTTGAGTATCATGGAACAAACCCAAGATTCAACATGATTTTCAATGACGCAATGTATGATGCTTCAACCATAATTATGAAGAAGATTCTAGAATGTTACAAGGGATTTGAAGGCCTCAAATCTCTCGTGGATGTCGGCGGCGGGACAGGAGCCACCCTTAACTTGATTCTCTCTAAATATCCAAATATTAAGGGCATCAACTTCGATTTGCCTCATGTTATTCATGATGCTCTTCCTTCTTCTGGTACCCTACTCGATTTAACATTTCTAATTGAACTTAACTATGAACTTACGTTTAAAATTCAAATATATATTACATATATTAATTAATTTGTTCAGGAATTGAGCATATCGGGGGAGACATGTTTGTTAGCGTGCCTAAAGGCAATGCAATTTTTATGAAGGTAGGATATACTTTTATAGTATCATTGTTTTATATTATTTAAGATATACATCATAAATGTGTATTAGAAATATAGAGTAAAAGTTTTTAGGTTAGATGAATCATATCACTAGGACACAACTACACAAGTATTACATCCTATGATTGAAACAAAAAGGGGTGGTGTAGTTTTAAGAAAAGTAGAGTTATGTAATTGATATTGAATTGATAAAGTGTGAATAAAATAAAAATAAATTAGAACCACATAAATATTACCTAATATGATATTGGAAAATTTTAACGAGAAGGACGAAAAAAGAAAATGTGAGAATCATAGTCGGACGGAGGAGTATCATATATTGGAAAATTGCTTATAGAGGTTTGTCAATTAGACAGCTCAACTGTTTAAATTTAACTTTTTCATACTAACTTTATAGAGAAAATTACTCCATATATGACTAAATAATTGTGTGTTTCTCAAAATATGACTTATGTCTTCTTTTTCCTAATATGATGCCACATAGCATTTATGCATATCATTTGAAGTTCTTTTTTTCTTATTTCATTCCATATGTGTCTAGTCATATATTATAAAGGAAACATGCATAATCATATATCAAGAATTGTCATGAGTTTTAGTTCTATATATAGGCATACTTCCCAACTTTATTTGTATTAGCAAAGGAATAAACTGAGTTAAGGGAAATATTTTATATGTATATTTTGTGTACATCTACCCAATTTCCCTCACACACACATATAATAGGAACATATCAGAATTTTTCTCTACAAAGTAGCAGGGTTTGGCGTTGCGAGTTTGTTTTTCGATTTGTTTACTTTTAAGTTTTCTGAAAAGTTACTAGAAAATGGTGTCATTGTTCATAGTGACACACTGACATGAGAGATCATGTTAGTGATGGAGGTAGCATGTCAGTACTTTTGACATATTAAAATATTCGCCTATTTTGTGCAACTAAAAACATCATTGGCCTATATGTACTGACGCTTTAATTTCCAAAGTACATAACATTTTTGTCAATCAATATTGTTTGTAATATTGCAAGGAAAACTTATAAAAAACAATGTTATCAAGATTTTTTAAATATATTTGAATTCATGAGGAGTCTACTTCACGTAGATGTCTGATCCATGTGCATTTTACAATTGTCTAAGTATGGTCTCGTCTGATCTGTTCTGGTCTGGTCTGATTTGTTTTGGTTTGATCTAGTCTGGTCTGCAACTGAAAACAATCCAAGCAAAAATTGTGTAATGATACTAGCTATAAAGTTTGTTCTAGTGAATTCTCCATATTATCTTTATACCTCTAAAAATCAGTTTCCAATTCACAATCAATGATTAGATCAATAATACTTCAAAACTTGAGTATTCAAAAATTAGATCTCATGAACTTTCTATTTATTTAATCACTTTAAATTACATCACAAAACTTTTTTGAATAGATTTCTTTTGAATCGTGTATTCTTACACTTTACCATTGCGATCATATAATTGTTTGAGCATGTTTAAAATTGGGTGAATTGTGTTCTTATGTGATTTCTAATCTATCTCTAGTGGATTTGTCATGATTGGAGCGACGACCATTGTCTAAAGTTTTTGAAAAAATGCAATGAAGCACTTCCAAAAAATGGAAAGGTTATCATCGCAGAGTGTATTCTACCGGAAGAACCAGACACCACATTAGCAACAAGAGATGTGATCCACGGTGATGTCCTCATGTTGGCATATAATCCAGGTGGGAAGGAGAGAACCGAGAAGGAATTTGAGAACCTAGCTAAGAGTTCCGGTTTCGTAGAATTTCGCAAAATTTGTTGTGCTTTCAATACGTGGATCATGGAATTCTGCAAGTGAACACAATAGAATCATTTCAAATGTTCTAATTCACTTTTTCTATACCCGCTTTTTCTCTTACCTAAATGGATTTGTAGTTGTCAGAATAAGAATGGAACAATAAAAAATGAGCAAGCTAATGGACATAGTACAATGACATTAGTTGTCCTCTTCAAGTGTTTGTTTGTTTGAATTAAGTCAATGTATACCTTAATAAAAATGTAATAGAAAAAGAATGAAATTTGTATATCACTTCATAGAAGATCGTATGTTCATACATAAGAGTTGGGTGCAAAGACCCATTTATGCATGCATAGCAATATTAAATTAGGAAAGAAATTAAAATGGAAAACAAAATAATTGGGGAAATCATGATCACATGGAAAGGAAATACCTGATATAATTCCTAACAGGTGGTCTCCATATACAGCTAAATCATGCAGCAATAGCATAACCATATTTGTACATTAATACTTCCCCTCATGCTGGAGTGTGGAAATTATGAACACCCAACTTGCCATGAAGATATTGAAAATGATCAAATCCAAGATGCTTGGTGAAAATGTATGCAATTTGATGTTGAGTACGTAGAAATAGGAAGTGGCTGAATTTCATGGCTAGCAACATGTTCTCGATCAAAATAACAGTCTATCTCAACATGTTTAGTGCACCCATGATAACCAGGATTTGTGGCAATATGACGTGATGTATGGTTATCACAAAAAAGTGGTGTGTGTGAAGACAAGAAAACTCAAAAATCGGGGAGTAGTCCCCTCAGCCAAATGATTTTGCTCACAGTAATAGCCATGAAGCGGTATTCTGCTTCTACCGATGATCGTGAAACCACTGCTTGTTTCTTGGTTCGTCAAGAAACAGGAGATCCGCATAATGTGATGAAATAACCAGAGTTGGAGCGTTGGGTGAAAGGACATCGAACATAATTAGCATCATAGAAACCTTCAGGGGTAAATTGTTTTGGGTAGATAATAGAATTCCTTGGCCCGATGTAGTCTTTAGTACCGTAAGACACGATAAGCGGCAGTCGTGTGAGTATGTCTTGGAGATGAGATGAACTGGCAAGCTGATTTACCAAAACTACAATGTAGGTGACCAACTAATCTGCGATAAGTTCAAGCATCCACGGTCGGACTCTCATCATCTTGTAGCTTGAGATTCTATTCCATAGCGAATGAGCTTGGACGACTTCCTTACATCATGGATTCCTCCAAAATGTCTAACGTGTATTTTCGTTGACTAAGGATGAAAACAGCTGAGGAAAAGACTACCTCAATGCCTAGAAAATATTTGAGTGGACCAAGATCTTTGATGGTGAATTTTCCATCAAGATACAGCTTGACTTGTGTAATATGCTTCATAGTATTTCCGGCAAGCAAAACGGCATCGACATATATAGGGGCGACCGTGTAGACAGAACCCTAATCTTTATATAATATAAAGTAACAGTCAGGCCACAACTTTTGGAGCCAAAATTGCCGCCCAAAATGAAGGGCATTGAAAACTTAAGTGCGTTGGAAATTCTCCTGTATCTAAGGCAATTAATGCGCCATAAAAGTAAAGCTTGGCTACAAATTCTACAATCCTACATAATGCTCGGTACTACGAAGTACTAATTATGGTACATAATGCTACTATTTTTGTAGGGAAATTGGCCCGGTAGTATGAACTCTTAAGGTTATTGATTTGATAAATTTAGTTGCTATAATTAAATTGATAATAAAGGGCAGCTCCAAACTCGAAAGCAGTGATAGTGGGATTTACTGCCCAAAAATTGGTAAGACAAATACATTGACAAGGCTATAATCAAAGTATGGTAGAAAGGACACGTATGAAATACATCATGTCAACACATGTTATATGTATGGTAATTAGAGAGATTAAATAGGGTATGAATTGAAGTATTGAATGACACCATCTTAAATCTATACATCATCTTAAAGAAAAAAAATATTTAAAGTATACTTTATTAATAAAATAAATAAATATATATATATATATATATATATATATATATGAAAAATAGCTAACATTGTCATTCAGAGTAACTTCAACCAATACAACCAGAAAAGTGCCTTTAACTTTACTTTTTATTATTATATTATTACACAATTTAGCGCGCCTAATCAAAATTAAAGTTACGTGTTTGGTTAAAAAATTGACTTATAAGCTTGATAAGCCAAAAAACAGTGTCACCAAATGGGCTCATAAAGTGAAAGCAATTAAAGAGAATTAAGTTGGGGGAGAGTAAATTTTGAGACTTGACATGTAAATGAGTAGGAAAGAGAAACTTGAGTAAAAGTATAACTAAAGAGATTAAATTTTTCTTGAAATGTAATGAAAACTTTAAATGTGACACTCACATAAGAAAAGTGAGAATCTTTCAATAGGACGGAGGGAGTACAAAATATTTAGGTCATTTTCTACTTACCTCTCATGTAGTCATTTTAATTTGAAAATGTAGTTTCAATCATTAGTGACTATGTGTCGATTTGTAATTTCTATGAAATTAGCCTCTATCAAATCTGAAAATAATTCACTAATTCAAATGTATATTTTTCAATACTCATATGATTTCTATAATTAGTTCGTATGAAAAAATGAAATGGAATAATTAATTTAATTCAAACCGGAAAAAGAAAGTAGGATAATTATTTTGGTATGGAGGGTATTATGTAAAAATAGAAAATTGTTTCTACCCATTGTTCTATATATGAAAATAACAAAAACATATGTAGTACAAGAAAATGTCAAAACATTGCATGAAACTTAATAGTACATAATGAGCATTCTTTTAAAATAAAAAGGGAAAAGAGTCAAATAAACTCTTCTATCATTTTCAATACATCGCTTAAGTTCATATACTAAAAAAAGTATCATATAAGCATGTTTACTGTAAAAACATCGTCCATCAAGTCATTTTAACCTTCTATAGCATAAATTTAATTTAATGAGCGATCAATTATTCTTATAAAAATTAATATAAAATTAAAGAGTAATGTAATAATAATGATATAAAAATGTATTAGTTAAAAATGGATAGATAATTTTTACAATTTATTATAAAAAATAAAAATAGAAAAAATACAAAAAATAAAGTGAAAGTGTAAAAAATAAATTAATTTGAAACAACTTTAAAAAAGATGCAGAGTATACAAATGGTTCCAAAAATAAAAAAATATATATATAGACTTTGACATTCTTAAATTATGCACATTTTAACGAATTTTTAAAGTTTTGTATTATAAAAAATATGTTAGGACAGGTAAAGAAACCAATCAAATGATATGTAGTACCTTTTTAGCATAGAAAGAAGACATAAGTAAGGAATTGAAAATAATACACGAAACAATTTGAACTTTTCCTTTTTTATTTAAAAAGTTGCTCATTTACTATACATGCCATTAGACTTTACGGAGAATAATAGAATGTAATTCGAACAAGTTATTATTTCACTCTAGGTATACCCCGTGCATCGCACAGGTACTTTGTCTAGTGATAAATAAATAGGAATGATCATCCCGAGATTGACTGAAACCAATGCATGCGAGTGCATGTGTAAATCTCTGATACCAATTTCACGATGCCTATCGTAGACCAAATAATAATTTTTGGAGTTTACATACACATGTGTCACCCTTTTTGGCAAAACCTTGTGGTATGCGTATGTAAGTATTCTCTTGCAAGTCTCTGCTTAAAAAACCATTATTCACGTCCAGATGATGGACGATCCAACTGCGCTTGGAAGAAACAGCAAGCATGCATCGCACGCACCTTAACAAGTTTTGCTACCAGAGCAAAAGTCTCGTGAAAATCAATGCCTTCTATTTGAGTGAAGCCTTTGGCTACCGGTCGGGCCTTGTAGTGTTCAACACTGCCACTTGGCTTGTATTTAATTTTATAGACCCATTTAAAGTCAATAACTCGCTGCCCTGGTGGTGGTTGAATTAAGATCCACGTCCCATTTGCCTCAAGAGCCTGTATTTCCTTTTGCATGGCCTACTTCCATAAAGGATCTCGTATAGCCTGATAGAAACATTAGGGCTCATTACGGGAGGTGATAGCTGCTAAGAAAGCCCGGTGAGTGGAAGAAAATTTATCATAGGAAATAAACTGTGCATAAGGATGTACCATCGAGTGAGCATAATTGGAGTGGGGTGCCGAAGGATCAACCGAGGGTGGCAGAGAGATGTCATAGCCATCCAAATGCTTGAGGCTCCGTCGTATGTGATTAATGTGTCGATGATCTTCAAGAGGGATATCAGCCGGTGGTGGAGGAGTGAGCTCGGCTTCATATGTCACCAAAGTGTCATTGGTCACCAAAGGAGTGTCATCTTATGTTATTGCAGATACCAAGGATGGAGTTTGTTGAGTGTGTATGGCATGACGAGTGTAGCTCATGACGAAATTAACAGATGTCTCCATAATTTCTTCCAGTGCCAAGCGAACATAAGTGTCAAAAGAGTGTATGCCGGTTGGTTGACCATTTTTTAAAGGAAAAATATCCTCAAAATTGTGACATCTCTAGAAGTATAAATTTGGTGAGTACTTAAATTAAGTACTTTGTAAGACTTTTTCCCATTTGGATATCCCACAAAAATGGGCATAAACCAAACATCCAAACACACGAAGATAAATGACGAGTGAGGATAAATAATTTAGGAAAAAGGGTCACATAAGCCCTTGTACTATTGTGAAAAAGTCATCTAAACCCATGTACTAAAAAAACGATCACATAGATACACTTACTACTAAAAATCAATCAAACTAAATTAACTTGCTATCACAGGTCAGATTTAATTTTTTCATTTTTTCTCTTTCTTCTCTTGCTTCATGCTTCAAACATCCTAGTGTTTGTTTTTATTTTTCTTGTTTGTTAATCGTAACTGTATTCTTGTTGCATGTAGATAATCGTTTTTTTTTTCCTTCTTTCAGCCGCCTCAATGCTAACATTTTTATTTATTTATTTTTCTTTTACCCCTTATTTCCTTTTCTATTTGTATATATCTAATATCTTCCCCGTAAGAAATTATTGTTTTGAAATTTCTTTCTAACTTTATATGTAATAAAAAATCGCATTTTCCTACACAATTTCAAAATCTACCACACTTAATTTTTGTTGTAATTAATTTCACTTTTGGTGCTTTGAGTTTTATGTAATTTCACATTTAGTTTATGTCTTTCACTTTGTTCACTTTTGATATTTGACTAATGATTCTTGACTATTTTAGTCTGTAATTGGTGA